CTCTTCCTGTTTAATTTATCAACGCTTCGCATGAAGAAAGGCGAGCACTTAATGTAAGATGTAGCTGGTTTACTGTAAACAAAAGAGGATCTGCCTTGACAAACAGGACATGTGTGCCCTCTAAACGTGCGTGATTGCCCCCTGTGGTCTGAATTGAAAGGTCTGTGTGCGGGACATACAGGTGAAACTCGAATAATTAGAATATCGTGCAAAGTTCATTTATTTCACTAATGCAACTTAAAAGGTGAAACTAATATATGAGATAGACTCATTACATGCAAAGCAAGATAATTCAAGCCGTGATTTGTCATCATTGTGATGATTATGGCTTACAGCTCATGAAAACCCCAAGAACCCCAAATGCACAATCTCAGAAAATTAGATTATTACATGCAATCAATAAAACAAGGATTGTACATAGAACAATATCGGACCTCTGAAAAGTACAAGCATGCATATGTACTCAGTACTTGGTTTGGGCCCCTTTTGCAGCAATTACTGCCATTACTTTTGCACGATATTCTAATTATTCGAGTTTCACCTGTATACCTCTTTTGTTATTCTCAGAGTTCCGTAACAGCCTTTTTCTTTGGTGTAACCGGATGCAATCCACAGTACCCTACGGTATGTCACTTATGAGAACTGTACCCAAATGCACATAGCTCACTCTATAGTATTCAGTATGTTACCAGTGAGATCTGCACTACGGCACACACAGCTCACTTTGCAGTAATTATTATTTAAAAGCAAAGCGTTGGATAACAGTTTCCCTAAACTGCCAGATTGTCCCTTCCTCGTTAGAATAATCTCCTTGACAGCATACCAGATCGCCAAAATGTCCTTATTTCTAAAGCATGTGGCGATTGAGCACACCTTTCATAAACAACCTATCACCACACCCAAAATAAAGTCACGCAGGGAGGAGGGAATATGACTAAGCCTATGAAAATACGGACATTCAGGAAATCAGTGCATGCATAGAAACTTTGCAGCTCTATAACGTGGAATTTCCTGCCTAAAGTATAACTCTATCCTGAAAAAAATGATACTGTAAAGCAGGGCAAGGAAAAATAATTGTTATTTCTACTTGCTAGTCAGTACAAGGATTTGAAGTGTGATCTGAGCCCTTTATGAAATGTAAAACAATCTTTGTATACCCTACTCCATTTATATTTTTAACACGGCAATTGCTCCAAATTGAAGATGCCCTTACTTTGGTTAGGCAAATGACCCAGGGAGCTATATTAGCAGTAGTGTAGCCATCGATCTGCCACCCATGCTAGGAGGGACTGTTGTAATGAGCCAAACAAAAAGGAATACCCTGATCCTTTAGGTTGAGGTTTAGTCATGGGTTTAACTAATCAATTGTTTAAAAAAAATTGAATGCTTTAAAGGCAAGACCCGTCATTGACTGTAGCAATGTGTAGTATGTAAGGGCTGCAATGGGTAGCCTTTATTTTTAGAAAAAAAGTGTGCCTGTTCTAGTATAGGCTAATTTGGGGGCTATCACAAGTAATGCAGAAAATTGTTTGAGGGCAAATATAAAATATTACATAAATATACAGAGAAATAAGGTTTTTTTTTAATTGCACAATTCTTTCGATATTTGCATCAACATAAAGTTAATATAGTGTGCTATTTATGTTTCTGCATTTATCATTCAATATGTCAGTTTCTGGCAATCCTCCCCAGACACTGCACACAGTCTAATCAGAAGCCTCTGTTCTCTGGGGTAACCTGTCAAAGGGAAAACAAATCCATGAATGCAATCCAGAGGGACAATCCATAAATATCTTTGCATATTAATACACATCTATATGTCCCTGTTCTGTAAGTCAAACAGTGAAGGTGGAATAAGTGGATTTTCAGGATTTGTTGGTACCAGGTACACGTCAATAAATGACAGTCTTGTATTCTGAAATATGTAGTATTAATATATTTGAGAAGACTTCATAGTGTTATTTAGGGCTGCAGCTAACGATTATTTTCATAATCGATTATTTGGCCAATTATTAAGTTCGGTTAATCGGATAAAAAAAAAAAAAGGCTCCAGTGATGGACTACTAGTTTCTATTGCGATTGTAGTCCATCACAGGAGCAAGCTTGGCACGGTGGAAGTAAAAAAAAAAAGTGTGGTGTGCAATAAAGTACATTATACAGCGGCGCAATGCAGAATACCAGCAGCTATAGAGGAATGCAGCAATAGTACATTATACTAATAGTACATTATACTATAATGTACTATTGCTGGGATTTGTAGTCCTTTGTAGCTGGCGTTATTCTGCATTGCACTGTATATAATGTATTATTGCTGGGATCTGATGTATTCCTCTATAGCTGGCGTTATTCTGCATTGCGCTGTATATAATTTATTATCGCTGGGATTTGTAGTCCTCTACAGTGCGCTGTATAATGAT